AGTTGGCGAACATTCCCCTAAATTTTCAGCTTCCTAGCTTTTGTGGTTCGCGAGTTGAAAGTTGCGGACAAGTTGATGCGGACACACACACACATACACACACACAGACAACTCCGTGACAATATACGTTTTGTATTGCTGTTACACTGCACAAAATGCATTAAAAAAGTGATCTTAAATGAACGATTTTCTAACGAAAACTTTCCCGTGGTGCATTTATGCGGTTTTTTTTTTTTGAGTTTTCGAAAATCGTTTTAATTCTAATTTTAGTTGATATGTGTTTATGTAAGATGTAAGGAACTAAAGTTGCATGGTTTGGTTTTTTGTTTTTTGCAGATTCTGTGTAAAACGTAATGCCAGCACTGTCTCGGCTATCAGCAGCTGGATTATCTGTGCTGGCCGTTGGTGCATCATGTTATTATCGGCATGACAAATGGTGGCCGTTTTCGGGTAACAGCGATGTTTGCGAGAAAGATGCGTCGATGCTGCAGGTGCTGAACTGCACCGATATTGGAGCGATGATGCCGTTTCCTTCCACACATCCATTACCGCAAAGTAAATGGGACTATAACTGGGATAGGTAAGTGATGATTTTTCTGCATTCACGTAATTTTTGGGAATCAAAAATCGAATGCTGCATGCGAAAATCGTTTCGATTTCTGATGTGTTTCAGAAATTTTAAAAATACATGGTAAGAAATGTATACGACTTAATGGACCGAAACATTTCTTACCTAATTTATTCTTTTTACATCTTCCCCTTTTTTTACTCTTTTTTGACCTTTTCTGTCATCCGTTTCTACATTTTCTAACAAATTTTCCACTCAATCTTAAATACAAACAATGAATATCACTGAGTAGGAGCGTGGAAGAGGACGGAGGCCTGAAATCTTTTATATTTGTTAATATATGCAGTTTGTTTGGCGCTGTTGGCCTACCATGGAGGGGAACACAATCGAATTTTGACAATTATTGAATACGCTGGAAGTAGTGCCATTCAGATCTCCCAAATAAGCAAGCCTGCATGTATAGTGACTTGGTAATCTGCCTATGTTTCTTGATATTGCAAGTGACGAGAACACTGCCACGGAAAACTCGCGAAAAACCGGCAAAGAAGAAGCCATTACAAAGAAAAAGGTGCATACTGCTTGTGGCAGTAAAAAAGGAAGATGTATTCTACCTTGAAAGGCAAATCTGGCAAATGTGCTGTCAGGCTGACTCTGAAGCACAGGGTCAGGTGGTGTAATGGTTAGCACGTTGCATCCGGATGTGAAGAAGAGTGGTTCGATTCCCTTGCGGGTCCATGACCGTTTTCGAAAACAGACTTCGTTCAAGACAGGCCATAGAAGGTATGTTCGTTAAGCATACGGTACAACATTAATTTGTGTTTTATCGTTTTCCAGTCGCGAACCGAAATATATGGTGAATCCGGTGGATTACGAAAAAGCGAGTCCGGAAAAGCGTGCACAGTTGATTGAGGAAGCAACACCTACCGCCCGGCGAAATATTATCCTAATTCGGCACGGTCATTACGTGACCGATCCAAATGAGAAAAATTATCTCAGTTTAACACCATTAGGTAGTGCTTTCAAATATTACTGTCAGGTCGAAAAGTATAAATTATGATGTATTAAAGCGCTACTGGACTTTTGATTGGAAAAGGACGCGTTATTGTCAGCCTGAGCGTTGATTGTTGCTTCATTTCCGCTAGTGGAAAAACGAGTTTTCCGAGGATTCTTCGATTTTTTTGGTTCTTACTCGTACCTGGGGGCAAAACTGCCATGGGTTTGTTTGTAATCAGTCCGTGATAGAAAATGTCATTAACAACTTGGCCTGTGGTTGGGTGCATGCCACTATTTAGATTACTTCCCAGTGTCTCAGTTCTCTTGGAAAGTGATCTTTGGGAGGTTTTGAACTGTATTAGAACACTTCGTAGCAGAAGTTATCATATATTCGGGAATCAAAGAAATCCAAGTGTTCTTTTGTCGTGGGGAGGGGAGGCGCGGGAGAGGTAGGGGGAAGGGCAAAAGAGGAAGCGTTGAGCCGATAGTCTGCTCAGGAGATGAAATGAACGTCATGATCGACAGCAGATTCACCACCAGACGATGCAGAATTGGTCAAAGACGTTGAAAGAATTATCAGCTCTGTAGTTAGCAAAACCGATTATGAATTGCACATAAACTCGGCATTCCGGATACGATAATAAACCTACTTAAAATGCACTAAAATT